ACACTGGTAACCAACTTGCTATTTCACAATATCTTTTCTACTACTAAAAAAATGCTGATTTCTTTCAAAAATTGCAATATGGCTAGCTCTTCAAAGATGAGAAAAACTGGCTCTGCAATATACACATATCCCTTGTTTCAAACAAATATAACGTGAACAATTTAGACAAATAAAAGTACCCATTTGAGAAAGGATACAATTTAAGGCTTACTTGCAGACTCTATGAATTTGGGGTAGGCATCATATGTGATTAATGGAATTGGCAAGTCCCTGAAGTAGAGTTTAAGTGCACCAGTGATAATGTTGATATCTTCATACATATTCACGGAAATGTCTGCTTTTTCCCCATCTGAACATAAAGAGGGAGGGAGACCCAAAATATAAAATGTACATAATATCAATGAATGGAATTGTAATTTGCAATGATATTTAAGACAATACACATACTGTTATACATACAAAAGCAGAAAACAAGGTAAAATGCATTTTGAAATGAAAAATATATGTTCCATATGCAGCACTTTTCAAGAATTCTGTGGAATTCTTATCTGCAAAGAATAAAATATAACATAGAGAAAATTGCTTGTGGTCACAACAGCTGGGCTCTGTGATTCAGCTGCAGACCACCGAATGGCCACTTTAATTTCTATTCTCACAGCATTGTAACTGATTTCAATGAGATTTGGGCGGTGTTATGCGTTTCAAATGCAATTATTATTATTTAAATAAAAAGTGCCATGACATAGAAAGTCAGACATGAAACAATAAATTTCTTCTTGTTTTGTTATACCTACAATGAGATTGGTAGAATGAGAGGCTATGGTATCCATAACCTCCAACCATTAGAGATAGTGAGAAGCATAGTCGAACATACATTGAGAATGCCAGATTAGGAAATGTTGCACAAAATCACATTCAAAGACAACCGTCAACGTTTAAAAATGAATACAAACCAAATTTTAGCCTCATTAGCAAATTAGCACAGATGAAAAAAAGTTATTAATTACAGTCACCTCCTATTATTATTCATAAAAATAAGTGCTACAGTCAGTCAGATGATTGTAAGTAATCAGAGCATGGTGGCTCAAGAGGTTAGAAGGCTGGGCTGGGAAGGCTCATGTTTGAGAACTGGCTGCCACTGCGGGGCAGGGTGAACTCCCGTCACACACCCCAGCTCTTGCTGACCCAGCAACTCAAAAGCAGGTGTGAGTAGATAAATGGGTACCACTTTGGTGGTAACCTTATGGGGACACGAAAGGAGCCCTCAACTGAGTGTCCCTCAGGAAAGGTGAGATCACTAGCAAACCCTTTCATCATGGAAGCATTTTGGGGTTTCCAACATGGAAGTTGTAGTAGTGGTATTACATCATCACAAACTATGTGCTTTAAAAACGTTCTGCTCTTAGAACTCAAATCTAATTCTCCATACTTTTTTTGGGGGGGGGGGGGGGGGGGAGAATGAGCTGTGAAATGGCTGAGATCTAAGCAGCTACTTAAAGCATGCCCAACAGTTCAAATATATTGAGTTTGTTTTTAATTATTTCTTCCCTGTACTTCCCTGATCTAACCTATCCACCACATCATGCCACAGCATTCCAAACTTATGCAGGTTAAAAAATGCTTCATATTTGGCACTGTTGAGAGAACTGCTTTCAGAGAACCAAATCAACTTCCTATTAGCCATGCAATATTCATTCATTGGATTCTAGCAAATAGGATAGAGGTAATTATTATGGTAAGCACTGAGTAAAGAACCTACCTCGATCAAAAGCCATTTTGACATCTTCAATTAGGTCGCTGAATCCTGACACTCGGTAGAGTCCTTCAGAATTGAGTCCTTTTAAATTAAAGTCATCGCTAGATTAAGCAATCATTTTTTTCTGATAGACGTGTACTTTTCGATTAACAGTACATAAAACAGAGCTCATTTTTTTAAGCTGCAACTTTCTTACTCAGCATAATTTTATAATCAGCTTTCAATTATTCTGTGCAAACATATTTATGATAATGTTTCCGGAATAAAGATGCCATACATGCATACGTACATACTCATCATGCTTTTCCCTTTTAAGGTAAACAGCTTTACACAAAGTACAGATAAAAAGTAATAAACATTAAACCCAAGAAATTATGTGCAATCGAAGCCAAGATGGGTTCAGGCCCATCTGGTGACATGCATGATGTATAAAAGATTGTGACTGTTTAGGGAATGTTAAAAAAGCATGAATTAACAAATGAAATGAAACTAACACAGCAGATACTTGGGGTGTCTTTGAAACTAAGAGAAAAGGAAGGGATGTGATGAAGGCTGTCTCTGCTTGTGAAACAGAGCTGATAAATACATACCGTGTTTCTCATATAATAAGGCCGGGTCTTATTTTTTTTTGAGCCCCGAAAAAAATGGCTAGGCCGTCTTTTCGGGGGTGACTTAATTCCCCCCCCCCTTGTATCTTTGGGCGGACGGGCAGCAACGGCTTGGATGTTGACCTCGGCGTTGGTGGGGCACTTCGTATCGGGGTCAACGCAGGCAGCACCATATCCGGGTGTGCAACAAAAGTACTTCCTAACGGCAAGCCACCCCACCATTCCCCCCATTTCGCATGTTTTAATATAGGCCTTAATATGGGGGGAGGGGCTTAATTTTATTTCATGCCTATAAAACATGCTGGGACTTCCTATTGGGGGAGGCCGTATTGTTGGAGAAACAGGGTACATAGTGAAATTGTAGGTTTAATAATGAATAAAAGGACTAAAAATATATAAAAATATTATTTGATGTTGGTTGGAATTACATGATCATAAAAAGGGAGGGTTTTTTATGTAGATAGATAGATAGATAGATAGATAGATAGATAGATAGATAGATAG